AAAAAAAATTAAAAAAAAAAAAAAAGAAAAAGAATACAGGAAAGGAAGAAAGAGGAAGAGGAAGAGGGAGAGAGAACAGGGGTGTTGCTTTATTGCCCGGGCTAGAATGCAGTCTAAAACTGGGTATGCCTGTAATTGTGTTTAATAATAGAGACATAAAAAAAAATGAGGGAATAAAATAATTAACAAGCAGCCAACCAATATTTCATTTAAACCTGTAAATACGTGTGATGTAGTACTGATAAGAGTGTATATTTTGTGTATTTAAAGTGGAGAGTTCTATGAATGTTAATTAAATCTACTTGTTCCAGATCTGAGTTCAAGTCCTGGATATCGATGTTAACATTCTGTCTCATTGATCTATCTAATATTGATGTTGAAGTCTCCCGCTATTATTGTGTGGGGGTCCAAGTCTCTTTGTAAGTCTTATATATCTGGGTATTTCTGTATTGGGTGCATATATGTTTAGGATCTTTAGCTCTTCTTGTTACATTGAATCTTTTATCTTTATGTAATATCCTTCTTTGCTTCTTTTGATCTTTATTGCTTTGAAATCTATTTTATCAGCAAAAATTGCAACTCCTGCTTTCTATATATTTATTTTAGCTCTCCATTTGGTTGGTAAATTTTTCACCATCCCTTTGTTTTGAGTCTTTATGTATCCTTGCATGTGAGATGGATCTGGATGTAGCATACCAATGGGTCTTGGCTTTTTTTGCCTGTCTGTGTCTTTGGATTGGGGGATTTAGTCGATTTAAATTTAAAATTAATAACAATATATGTGTGTTTGATACTGTCATTTAATGTTAGCTGGCTGTTTTGCCCGTTAGTTGATGCAATTTCTTAAATATGTTGATGTTCTTTATTTTTTGGTATTTTTTAGAAAGGCTGATACTAGTTGTTCCTTTCTATTTGTAGTGGTTCTTTCAAAAGCTCTTGTAAAGCAGGCCTGGTGGTGATGAAATCTCTGAGTGCTTGCTTGTTCACAAAAGATTTTATTTTTCCTTCGCTTATGAAGCTTAGTTTGGCTGGATGTAAAATTCTGGGTTGAAAGTTTTTTTCTTTAAGGATGTTGAATATTGGCCCCCACTCTCTTCTGGCTTGTAGGGTTTCTACTGAGAGATCTGCTGTGAGTCTGATGGGCTTCCGTTTATGGGTAACCTGACCTTTCTCTCTGGCTGCCCTCAGTATTTTCTCTTTCATTTCAACCCTGGTGAATCTGGCAATTATGTGCCTTGAGGTTGGCCTTCTTGAGGAATATTTTTGTGGTGTTCTCTGTATTTCCTGGAGTTGAATATTGTCCTGCCTTGCTAGGTTGGGAAAGTTTTCCTGAATAATATCCTGAAGTGTATTTTCCAGCTTGGATTGATTCTCTTCGTCACATTCAGGTACACCTATCAAACGTAGATTAGGTTTTTTCACATAGTCCCATATTTCTTGGAGACATTGCTCGTTCTTTTTTATCCTTTTTTTCTCTAATCTTGTCTTTTTGTTTTATTTCATGAAGTTGGTCTTCGACCTCTGATATCTTTTCTTCTACTTGATCAATTCGGCTGTTAAAACTTGTGCATAGTTCGCAAAACTCTCGTGTTGTATTTTTCAGCTCCATTAATTCACTTATATTCCTCTCTAAATTGTGTATTCTTGTTAACATTTCGTCAAACCTTTTTTCAAAGTTCTTAGTTTCTTTGCATTGGGTTAGAACAAGTTCTTTTAATTCCCAGAAGTTTCTTATCATCCACTTTTTAAAGCCAGCTTCTGCTAATGGAACACAGTCTTTCTCCATCAGGCCTTGTTCTGTTTCTGATGAGGAACTGTCATCCCCTGTAGAGGGAGAGGCGTTCTGAGTTTGGGTATTCTCAGCCTTTTTAGGCTGTTTTCTTCCCTTCGTTATAGATTTATCCATCTGTGGTCTTTATAATTACCGTCTTTATAGTTGGGTTTCTGAATGGACGTCCAACTTGTTGATTCCCGGTGCTAGAATCTGAGCAACCCACTGCTCCGGCCAAAACAGCGGCTTTAAGATTGATGGTGCTTTTCTGACTCTGCACCAAGAACCGCCACACCAAGGCAGCGGCAAAACCGCCTCACCGGCCTCAAGAGTCACGCTGGCGACAGGTGGGGCTCCTCCGCTGGGAATCTCCTAGTGTGTGAGCAACAAAAATTGATCTGAAAGTGTGGCGTCCTCTCGTTCTCTGCTCTTTCAGTGGGAGCTGCAATCCCGAGCTGCTAGTGATCAGCCATCTTGGATCTCTCTCCGCCTCCACCCTTTTCTAAGACAGGTTCTGGATTAACACTTTATTTCTAAGCCTTGAGGTTGAGTTAAGGACTCTCTCCTTCCCTCTTACCTCCTGTCTCCCACTTCGTTTCTAATGCTGTTCTCACCTTAAAACCAGGTCCTAGCAGAGCTGTGCATCGCCCACAGGCGGTGGCCCTGCTACTGGCGCTAAAGGTGAGTCAACTTTGCCTGATACTGGGCCCCTCTGCCTTAGCAGTCCTTTCCTGGTATTTGTTTCCTTGGATCCCATAACTAGTGGAGAGAGACAAGGACTCCCGTCTAGGTATGAAGTGACTCAGACCTTCCTTCAGCCTACTCCTAAGATACAGTAGTGCATGATTTCACTTTCTTTTTTTTTTTTTTGAGATGGAGTTTCACTCATGTTACCCAGGCTGGAGTGCAATGGCGCGATCTCGGCTCACCGCAACCTCCGCCTCCTGGGTTCAGGCAATTCTCCTGCCTCAGCCTCCTGAATAGCTGGGATTACAGGCACGCACCACCATGCCCAGCTAATTTTTTGTATTTTTAATAGAGACGGGGTTTCACCATGTTGACCAGGATGGTCTCGATCTCTTGACCTCGTGATCCACCTGCCTCGGCCTCCCAAAGTGCTGGGATTACAGGCTTGAGCCACCGCGCCCGGCCATGATTTCACTTTCTGCCATTTCAGTTACCCTTGGTCAACTATAGTCTGAAAATAGGCAAGTACAGTACAATAAGGTATTTTAAGAGAGACTACATTCACATAACTTTTATTACAGTATATTAATGTTCTATTTTTATTGTTGTTCCTATTAATGTTCTATTTTTATTGTTGTTCCTTTCTTATTGTACCTAATTTATAAATAAAACTGGCTAGGTGCACTGGCTCATATCTGTAATCCCAGCACTTGAGGGTTGTTTGAGGCCAGGAGTTCCAGACCAGCCTGGACAAGAGAGCAAGATCCTGTCTCTATAAAAAAAAAAAAAAAATCAAAAATTAGCCAGATATGGTAGCACATGCCTGTAGTCTCAGCTACTTAGGAGTCTGAGGGAGGAGGATGGCTTGAGCCCAGGAGTTTGAGATAAACTCAGTCTCAGTGAGCTGAGATCGCACCACTGCCCTCCAGCCAGCCTGGGCAACAGAGCAATCCCAGCACTTGTAATCCCTCAAGTGCTGGGATTACAGAAAGGAGCCACTGTACGTAGCCAGTTTAATTTACAAATTAGGTACAATAAGAAATTAACAACAATAATAAAAATAGAACAATTATGACAATACACTGTAATAAAAGTTATGTGAATCAGCGGCAGTGAGCTATGATTGTGCCACTGTATTCCAGCCTGGGTGACAGAGCAAGACCCTGACTCTAAAAAAAATGTTTTAAATATATAAACTATCATAGGTATGTACATATAAGAAAAAGCACTATACACAGGGTTAGTATTATCCAGTTACAGGCATCCCTTGGGGGTCTTGGGACATATCTCTGATGAGTAAGGGAAGGTCACTGTACTAGTCTTATTACTCCCAGGAGAGGAAGAGGGATCCTGGTCCAGTTGACTTTGAATCTGAGGGAGAGCCAAGCTGCCACTACCCTGGGTGTTGGAATAGCTGGTCTTGCTGCTGCCTCCACCCACCTCCTCAAAAACACAGGTAAATGTAGAAGACACTATGGGGGCCCATTCGAGTCTGGTTTTTCCTCCCTCCTGTTCCAGAGAATTCTGCTCAGCTCCCCTGGAGTCAAGGCCCCTGGAGTGCTGGGAACGTCACCTGCCTCCTTGCACATTCCATGGCAGGTGAGTCTGCTGCAGTCTCCATACTGTGGGTAGTAAGGATTCCATCCATTGTGTTCAGTCTACCCTCAACCCTGGTCTGGAGTTAATGCACCCAAAGTGAGGTATGGTTGTGGTGTGCCCAACCAGGGGCGTGGATAGACACCTTAATACGTGGTACTGGGACAACTGGCCATTTGTATGAACAAGGGCAAACTAGATCCCTACTCCTGCCTTAGGCAATCTTTGAGCAGATGCCCAGCCCTTAGCTGGAAAGAGCATCTGCCCTTCAATTAACTGTGTAATGGGAACATGGCCTGGGATAGAGGAACTAAAGGACCACGAAATCCTGCAGGGAGAACTACAAGAAATTACAGCTCTGAGGAGGGCTTCAAGTGAGTCAGAAAAAGGCAAATGAGTACTGCCCCAGCAGCTGAAGACAAACAGCCCAAGAGAAGAGAGGAGAGTTAGAGGTGTTGACTTTCCAAATAGGAGGGAAAAGCACATGACCCCACAGAGTCAGGGAATGAAGAGCTGCTTCCTAGTCAAGCCCTGTTGAAACAAGGGCAGGAACCATAGTCTGGTGCCCTCAAAGGTGTCTTGAGGGGCTCACAAGACGGCACGATGCTGGGTGAATTTCTTGACGGGGAAAAGGCAGGAAAGGAACCGAGCCCTCGCAACAAAAGCAGCATTCTTTTGGTGAAGGTGGCATTCTCCCAGACCTCTTAATTCCTCTCTCAGACCCTGGACTACCTGTCACCCATCCCTTTCTGGCCAACATTTCCCAGCGCCAGCTCTCCAGCACGGCACTTTGGACCTCAGCTGCCACCACCAGACCCATCTCTCTTCTGCAGCCTGCTGACCTCGTGGCCCGCTAGGTTCAGGTACTGGTTTGAGGTTCTCCATAGAGGTCTAAGGAGGTGCTGGCTGAGGAGGGGTGGGGGCCATGCCTACCAGTTGCCACAGGAAAACACAGAAATCTAGTAACAGAAGTCTGAGGTATAATCTAATTCCTTCTCCTTCACAAATGGAGCCCCATGGAGATTAAAAATTTATTTACCAACCTGGCCAACATGGTGAAACCCCATCTATACTAAAATACAAAAAAATTAGCTGGGCATGGTGGTGGGCGCCTATAGTCCCAGCTACTCAGGAGGCTGAGGCAGGAGAATCTCTTGAACTGGGAGGCAGAGGTTGCAGTGAGCCTAGATTGCAGCACTGTACTCCAGCCTAGCAACAGACTGAGACTCCGTCTCAAAATAAAAGACTTCTTTATTTAAAGCTGGGTGCTGTGGCTCACGCCTATAATCCCAGCACTATGGAAGGCAGAGGTGGGAGGATCACTTGAGGCCAGGAGTTTTAGGCCAGCCTGGGCAACATGGTGAAACTCTGTCTCTACTCAAAATAAAAAAAGTAGCCAAGTGGCGGGCGGGCATCTGTAATCCCAGCTACTTGAGACTCTGAGGCAGGAGAATCACTTGAATCCGGAAGGCAGAGGTTGCAGTGAGCTGAGATCGTGCCACTGCACTCCAGCCTGGGAACAGAGCAATACTCTGTCTCAATAAAAAATTAAAAATAAAAATTTGTGATCAGCTAGCATGATGGAACTGAGACTAGGATTCAGATCTCCTGACAACCAGGCCAAAAGGTTTTCTACTGTGCCAAGATTTCCTGCAGCCAAATTGCAGGAAAATAGATGTTGGAGGGGCTTGGGAGCCCTGCAGCTCTAAGACCATGATGTGCCATGTGGCTAACTTTGGGAAAGTACCTAAACAGATAAGATTAATTAGATGTCTACCTGAGCTGACCTGGGCTGAATGAATGTAGGGGACAGAGAACTGAGAGCTTCCTTCCACCCAGCTCAAGTTAACTTCTTGCCTTCTCAGTCATCTGACCCAGCTCCATCCTCAGCACCAAAGGATCCTGCAGCAGCAGCAGCATAGTCAAACACCAAGGTAAAGCCCAGACGAGGAGCAGGGTTAAGGGGAGCCCATCTGCATGCCCAGTCTCCCCTTGTGACCAGTCATCGCCCTCAAAGCTCCCATATGGTTAAAACTCTCACACTGTTGCCCACCTCTGTGCTTGCTCCATCCTTCCCAGAGGGCCCCACTTCTGCTCACTACACACTAAGAAGTGGCAGTGGTGGGTAAGTCTAAGGGGTTGTTCCTCCTGGCTTAAAGTCCCCCAGCCAAGAAGCCTTGGTCTCAGCAGCCAGATCCCTATGCTAACCTCATGACCAGAAAAGAGAAGGACTGGGTGATAAAAGTGCAGATGGTGCAGCTGCAGAGTGCAAAGCCCCACCTGGATGACTACTACTACCAGGTGAGCCCCACGGTGCTCTGCCCAGCCTCTGACCTTGGGTCAAATGCATATGGACTCCAGGGCCCCTCTGATCCTCTCTTTGGCTCATAGAGGTCATATCTGTTCAGGTGGGAGAGAGAATCACTACAGGATAGGGGCCATATTTCTAAAGTAGACATCCCAAACTCATTTCTCTCTATCCTCCTAAATTGCAGCCAACTAAGATTATTTCCGGTTCCCCAAACACACTTAGGTTTTGTCTCCATTCTTGGCTAAGAATTTTTCCTGTTCACCCAGGAAATAATGGGCTTTCTCACCTCTGTACGCTTAGAAATGTCAGGGATGTTATAAATAGCGGGATTCAGTTTGTTTATTTGAACAAACGACAGCAGACACGTTGACTCGTTTTCCCTTGTTTCCTTCCTGCCTTTCTTTATGGGACAAGTCTTTGTCCACAAGTTTTTGAGTTATCTAGGCTGTTTCACTAGCTCTATTTTTTTTTTTTTGAGAAAGAGTCTCCCTCTGCCATCCAGGCTGGAGTGCAGTGGCATGGTCTCGGCTCACTGCCACCTCTGCCTCCCGGGTTCAGGTGATTCTCCTGCCTCAAACTCCCAAGTAGCTGGGATTATAGGCATGCACTACCATAAGCAGCTAATTTTTGTATTTTTAGTAAAGATGGGATTTTACCATGTTGGCCAGGCTGGTCTTGAACTTCTGACCTCAAGCGATCCACCGGCCTCAGCCTCCCAAAGTGCTGAGATTACAGGCCTGAGCAACCACATCCGCCTGGCTGTTTCACTTTTACCACAGTATCTGTGAGCCTCCCATCCAGGGCCCCACCCTTGTCCCCTTCTCATTTACATTAGATATTTTTTCTTTCTTTGCACCAAGCTTCAAAAGCCCTCCTTTTCTGCCAGCATCACTGAAAATAGTTTTGTACTCTTGCCTTTTTGGCATTGCTTCTAAACAAAGGAGCCTTTTTCAATTCCTTTTTGGCTTGTCAGTGATTTCAGTTTAGGATTTCTCAACTTTAAGAAAATGTCAGAGCTGCTGAGCGAATCCACAGAAGCATAAAACTGGCCTAGAGGGCAACCAACAAACATATCCCTATGGCTAGTTCTGTGCTTCAAGCTCTGGATGCCCTTCATACCATCAGCTTCCTGATTTTTAAAAAGCAGAGATGAAGCCACAAGATTAAATGGGAGAGTGGAGAAGACAGGTGGTGTGCAGTGTGTGTGTACTAGGACATGAGGAATGTAGGAAGGTTGCAGATGATGGAACAGGCTTGCTCACTGGCTCTCCACTTTGCTCTCTGCCCTTTCATCAGACATGGTGGTGGTACCTAGTCTTTAGGTATCTGGTATGTGAATTCCAATATGGGTGATGTGGGGCCCAGGGTGCTTAAGACACTTTAGAATAACTGCAAGGAGGGCCTAAGGTACCAGCATGATTTCTGGAATGATACTGTAGGGAACAGTGTTGTTTTTTTTTTTTTTTTGAGACGGAGTTTCACTCATGTTACCCAGGCTGGAGTGTAATGGCGCGATCTTGGCTCACCACAACCTCCACCTCCTGGGTTCAGGCAATTCTCCTGCCTCAGCCTCCTGAGTAGCTGGGATTACAGGCACGTGCCACCATGCCCAGCTAATTTTTTGTATTTTTAGTAGAGACGGGGTTTCACCATGTTGACCAGGATGGTCTCGATCTCTTGACCTCATGATCCACCCGCCTCGGCCTCCCAAAGTGCTGGAATTACAGGCTTGAGCCACCGCGCCCGGCCTGGAAAGAGTGTTAAGAGGCTGTACTTAGCTGGGCACAGTGGTTCATGCCTATAATCTCAGCACTTTGGGAGGCCAAGGCAGGCCAAGTGCTTGAGTCCAGGAATTTAAGACCAGCCTGGGCAACATGGTGGCCCCAGCTACTGAGGAGGCTGAAGTGGGAGGATTGCTTGAGTCAAGGAGGTTGCAGCGAGCCAGAGATTTGTGCCATTGCACTCCAGCTGAGTAATAGAGGGAGATCCTGTCTCAAACAAAACTTACACACAAAAGCAAACAAACAAAAAAACTTAAAAGAGACTGCATGTGAGAAACTTAATTCTAAGTTCAAAAGATGAATATAGGGTGTTTGTTTTTTCCTATTCCATGCATTCTCAGGAATATTACCAGAAGCTAGAGAAGAAGCAGGCAGATGAAGAGATACTTGGACGAAGAAACCGGGTTAAGTCCCTCAGGCTGGTAACGCCTTACATTCAGAAGGCAGAGGCTTATGAGTCAGGTAAGGTCAGGGCTGACCTGCTGACTTGGGCTGGGCATCTGGGTGGACAGAGCATGGGAGGGGGAGAGAAATGTGCCTCTCCTGACTCCTCTCATGCAGTGGTCCGAATCGAGGGTTCCCTGGGCCAGGTAGCTGTGTCGACATGTTTCAGCCCTCGCCGAGCTATTGATGCTGTACCTCATGGAACTCAAGAGCAGGTGGGAGCACTATCTTCCCAGACCTTTTCCTCTCCCCTATGGAAGAAGGGTCTAGAACACTCTCGTGTTTGAGTTAAGACTATGACCTAAGAGAGAAGAAGTGTGATCAAACTTTGTTTCTAGCCTTTACAGTTCAATCTCTAGCTAGTCAGACGCCTGGGCTGGGGCTGTGGCAGTATGGCTGATAGCTGGTGACTGTTTTCTCCTAGGATATAGGAGTTGCAAGCAGTCAGAGGCTTGGGGTATTATACCGGATTGAGAAGGTGAGATATCAGTTCCTTAGAGACAAGTTCCGAAGTTACCTTTGAGAATGAGATATTACCCAAATTTACCTTTTTCCACCCTCAAATTCCCAGATGTTCCTTCAGTTACTAGAAATAGAGGAAGGCTGCAAGGATAGGCCTCCACAGCCCTGCTTTTCTGAGAAGCAAAGCAACCAGGTTGAGAAGCTCTTCCAGACCTTAAAGACCCAGGAGCAAAACAACGTGGAGTGAGTGTGGGAGGGTTCCACCTCAGCCCAGGAAGGGAAGGAGCAGCAAAGACATTCGTCTTGCTTCTCCCTCTCCTTTCTGGCATGTAGCCCACTCCTCTATGCAGAGCTCTGGAAATGCTCTCCTCTCTCCCTTGTAGGGAGGCAGCAGATGGCTTCCTGCAGGTGCTCTCTGTGAGGAAGGGCAAGGCCCTGGTGGCCCGGCTGCTCCCCTTCCTGCCCCGGGATCAGTCTGTTACCATTCTATTGGCTATCACCCACCATCTGCCCCTCCTGATCCGGAGGGATGTGGCTGATCAGGTACTGTGGCATTGAGTGGAGAAGAGGATGGTCTCCTGAATAGGTTAGGGGCGTTCCTCCCCTTCAGTCCCCACATGCCCCAGAGATGCCAGAGAAAATGCTGGGCACAGTGAGGGATGCTGGCCTGACCACCCTCAGGCAAGGAAGTTACAGAACAAACTACTATAGGAACAGCGAATCATCTTCAGGTACGACGAACAAAAAGAAACAGGTGTATGGTTGCACAGGTGTGAGTGTGCCATGGAGGTTTGAGTAAAAGATTAGGAAGCCCTGATAAATGTTGAACCCCTATCTACTTTGCTTAGAGAAGGCATCCTAGGACAAGTGGGTACTGAAGGTGTCACTGTTGGGGATGGAGAGTCATAGTGGTGATAAGCCTGGTAAGTAAACTCACCAGGAGGTACCAAAGGCAGAACAGCGGGGAAAGGGGCTGGAAGCAAGGTAAGAGGAGGTGAAGTTGTAGTGGAATTTGGGAGGTGCTTACTGATCTTCTTGCAGGCCCTACAAATGTTGTTCAAACCTCTGAGCAAGTGTATCAGTCACCTGACTCTCCATGAACTCCTCCAAGGACTTCAGGGGCTAATGCTGTTACCACCTGGCTCCTCAGAGCGGCCAGTCGCTGTGGTGCTTCAGAATCAGGTAACATGTCTAGGAGGCTTTTGTCTTTCCATAGATGGCTTTCAAGCTGGTATCACTGATAAGAGATAAGTTGGGCGACAGTTTCATTTCTCCACAAATCTTATCCTCTGCAATGTTTCTCAATTTCTAGTAAGCATAGGATCACCTGGCAAGCTTAGTAAACCCCACTCCTTGGTCCCACTCACAGTCATTCATTGGGTCCGGTGTGGGGCCCATGCACCTTCTCTGCTTTTCTAGTAAGCTCCCTGATTGCTGCTGATGTGAGTCTCTAGATCATGTCTCCAAACTCGTGTGTACCTCTTTGAGTGGAAAAAAAAAAAAATTCTAAACCCATGTGTTTACAAATCAAATACATGCAACACTAGTAATATTAGGCACATAATATTTTATTTTTATTTATTTTTTAGATAGTCTCGCTCTGTCACCCAGGCTGGAGTGCACTGGCATGATCTTGGCTCACTGTAACCTCCACCTCCCAGGTTCAAATGATTCTCATGCCTCAGCCTCCCAAGTTGCTGGGATTACAGGTGTATACCACCACACCTAGCTAATTTTTGTATTTTTAGCAGAGACATAGTTTCACCATGTTGGCCAGGCTGCCCACCTTGGCCTCCAAAAGTGCTGGGATTACAGGCATGAGCCACCATGCCTGGCCAATAGGTACATAATAAAAGATAGAAATTTTTAAAGAATGAGACTCTAGATGTCAAAGTTATGACGCTGTCTTCCAATATCACAGTGGATTATCTCGTATATGCCACACTGAAGGTCTTTGCTTAAAGTAGTGCCTCTTAAAGTGGGGTCCACAGAATACCTGCCCCAGATTCCTGGACGCATTCCCAATCTCCTGCTAGTCAAGCCGAGAATTATGCATTTAATCAGCTCTCCAAGAGCGTCTTTTGGACTGTTCAGAGCAGTGATTCCTATGGAAAGGTTACAGAGTTCTTTGGCTTACCAGTGTAAAACCTGACAGCCCTTGTGGGTATTTTGCGCTCCATCTCTAAATGTGAACCTGCCCTTTAGCTGGGAAGATAAGAGTCAGGAAAGCACCAAATGCTGAGACTGAACTCATTTTGCCCTGGAATATATGTATGTCACTTGCAGTTTGGAATATCTTTGCTCTATGCCCTGATGAGTCATGGGGAGCAGCTGGTATCGCTGGATTCTTCCCTAGAGGAACCCAACACTGACCGTACAGCTTGGTAAGATCATAAAGGCCTTGTAAATACTACTTTGGTACCCCTGGGATGTGCAGACTGAGCCAGATGAAGTGTTTTCTGAGGCATTTTCAAGTACTGAGGAGAAGGTTGGATACAGAAAGAAATAGCATCTTGTAGCTTTTTTTTTTTCTATAGTGCCCTAAAGTTTTGGTTTCTCCTGGGAGGCAGTATAACACAGTACCTAAAGGGACAACCTTTAGATTTTGGACTGGGTGCGGTGGCTCACACCTGTAATCCCAACACTTTGGGAGGCCAAGGCAGGCAGATCACCTGAGATCAGGTGTTTGAGACCAGCCTGGCAAACATGGTGAAATCCCGTCTCTACTAAAAATACAAAAATTAGCCGGGTATAGTGGCAGGCACCTGTAATCCCAGCTACTTGGGAGGCTGAGGCAGGAGAATTGCTTGAACCCAGGAGGCAGAAGTTGTAGTGAGCAGAAATCAAGCCACCTGGGGAATAAGAACGAAACTTAATCTTAAAAAAAAAAAAAAAAAAACCCAAAAAACCACTTAGGTTTGAATTCTGGCAGTATCACATTATTAGCAATATATCTTTAGGGCAAATTCTTTCACTTCTCCTAGTTTGTTTCTTTATAAGCTACAGATGATGGTATTAACCCCTCAGAGTTCTTAAAATTAAATAAGAAGGGAAATGTGTAAAGCACTAAGCATTAGGCCGGGCGCGGTGGCTCACGCTTGTAATCCCAGCACTTTGGGAGGCCGAGGCGGGTGGATCAC